TGTTACTTTAATTTCAGGCGGGTGAAATCGTTGGCAAAAGCTGGTTTTATACAATACATATAATTTTCATTTCAAATCAAACTGACTGAAAATGACAATTTCTGACCGTTAATGACTAGTTTTTGACGGTCAGTCAAATTCAATCACCTTAGTCATTTTCAACACTAGGCCATCGACGTCCGTTCGGCACATTCGCGACACCCCTAACTTTTGGATTTCGACCACGTTCCGAGATTTGAAATTCGAAGGAAAGCTCGCGTTTCGTCGGTTTATATGAAGTTACAATACTGTATGATATTATTACCGTGGTAACAGTGTGAGTGAACCCTTGTTGTTTAATAGTGACAAAAACTGCAGTGCAAATAGACAATTACAGGCCTATAGTTCATTTCACCTAAGATGATCCGTATGACACTTCAAGGTTATCCATGTTACGCATACTACGTATGCAGAATATTTTTGAAAAAATATTTGTATTTTATTAGCAATATAATAAAAAAAAATTAACTACTTGTCTTGAAATATATAGTAAAATCTGAGTCTATTGATTATATTTCGATGTAAAAATATTTTTTATTTAATGTACGCAATGTGTGAAATGGAATAGATTTAGTGCTGAGGTATTTGATGTATAACAAAATCGATTATTTCCGCGATTCATTAATCTATTGCAGTGTATACTTAGTTATTAAAAACATCACAAAAATCAACTATATTTTTTGATCATTGACTTTAATGGGTCATTCCATAAAAATCTGTATATTTTCGACGTCATTTTGTCCGTAAATTTTTTAAGATGCTTTTGAATACTATATTAGTGTAAATTATTGTTTATTAATTAATTATGTTATGTCTAAAAGGGCCAGTCACTTTATGCTTTATTTTAGGAGAAATTATAATTTTCAATTTTTACATACTACATTACTCCTATATGACTTCTAATAAAGTATAAAACTTTTAACCTTAACATTTATAGATAAGTTAATACACATAATGTAGTTGTTTTGTTATTATCACTATATAAAAAACATCATTCCCTAACTAGTAATTTAGTTCCAAGTGCCATTTAAAGCTAGGGCCTGACGCTCTAGGGACTGACGATTTGGAGTAAAACTTAACACAAATGCAGATTAAGGATAAAGTTGATGTTTTTATAAATGTGGGTCCCAAAACACAAACTTTTGGAGTACGGACATGCCTAGGGAATGACGTTTTGGGTTATTCAAAAGGAATTTAAGATGTTTTAAAAATAGTTTCAAAAAATATAAATGGGTGATGAATAAAGCACATTGCGAGCTGTTATTTAACAATTTTGGAATAAAATATTAACAAATATTTCATGTGAAATGTGGCGCGGACTAAGAGTTGACATATTTTTGTGGAATGACCCTAATAAACGCATTGGAAATAAATTAATAGTTTTTAATTTAAAGAAACAGAACCAGTACTTTTTAGGAATCGTTTTTTTGAATACGAAGTCCATAGAATTTAAATATTATCCAATAAAAAATTGTTACAATAATATTTATAATTAAAAAAACATGTTTTTTGTTAAATAACACCTATACAAAATATTTCTCTAAAAGTAGGTTTTACTAACTCTTAGAAAAAAATCGATAGTTATATCGCTATGGTTTAGTTATGTGACATCTCTATAACTTTCAAACTCGAAACTTCATACGAATCATCTTAGGTGAAAAAGACTATAGCACATAACTCAAGTCAGTACCTGAGGTATGAGAGCGGCACGGGAGGGGTGGGTGACATTGACATATTTTGTCATGAATCGTGACAGAGTCGTGGTGACAGAGATGATCGTCTTCGTGGAAATCCTTGGGGGAGGCTTTTGTCCAGCAGTGGACGTCTTTCGGCTGAAACGACGACGTGACAGAGCATATTTGGAAGGAGATCTGAAGTCTTGCTAATTTTTTACGTCACAAAAACACCTTTCTTGTCGCTCCTATAGGGTCATTCCATGACAAATGTTACCGAGGGTGAAAAACTAAATATGTTCTTTTCGCATTAAATCTGATGAATTTTGAAAGTAAACATTCCAAATTAAAATGTGCAACAAAAAAAATCTGAAAGAAACAAGTAATTTTTAAGTTATTAGTCTTCAAAGTCTATAACTTAAGTCAACTGTCTGAATGATCATTTTCTCTCTAATTATTGGTAATTACAATTTTAAAAAAACTATCAATCTGTGAAACGTTTTGCCACTATATGATTCGAGGGTATTTATCATAGTATTGGTAGATAGCGTCATAGTCCCAAAACAATTGATAATCATCAAGTTTTAAGTGTGTTTTCTTTTTACTTCGGCGATGTAACACCCGAAACAGAAAAACAGGTATTTGTTTTATTATTGTACCTTACACATGGATTAGGGTAACAATATTTGGCAAAAGTAAGGTCATGGTAGTAATGATTTCAAATACTAACTAATATCTGAGCATGATACTAATTTAGTATGTTTCTTTCTTGATTAAAAACTGTAACACCCGAAACGTTTCGGGCATTACATTTTTATTTATATATGTCGATAATGTGTGTGTATTGCTTAGAGAAGTGAAAAAGTATTACTGTGAGGGTCCTTTGACCTCCCACTAACGCTGACATCGGAAAAGGAGTCATATTTCTCAATTTAAGACTTTTTTTAAATGTCGACTTAACACTAAAATTAAGGTATTGCTAAAAAGTGTCGATGTTTGACATTTCCAATAAATATCGTAATTAGAAATTAAAGTAATGCTATTTCAAGCCAAAAACAATAGAAAAAGCTATATTCTGAGGAAAAATTAAACTTGAACTTTGTTTATTTTTTTTAAAAAAGCTGCTTCGTAATTTCAAACCAGAATTCGCTCTATTTGTGTTTGTTTGTTGTACTCCTTATTTCGTAGTACCTAGAGACTAATAAAACACCGATTTTATCGATAAAACGCGTTGCATTTTCGTACTCGTAACACCCGAAACAGAACCATTGTAACACCCGAAACAGAACCATTGTAACACCCGAAACAAAGAAAAAATTTATAAAAAAATAGTAAAACGTTTTATTTAACAGTGATTGTATGTTACATGGTTTGTAAATTTCATACTTTAGAAGTCCTGTAAGTTTAAGGTATGATTCCTTAAGAAAATTCGCAAAATTTCGAGTAAATGCGGCAACAGTCAGAACATAGAGGCAAAATCTCGTAACGCCCAAAACGCGCACTTTTCGACTCATATTTTCGTTATCCTACCTACAGTCTAAGCTGTACAAACTTATTTTATTTAGATAAAACAACTAAAAACGGACAGATTAAGGCACTAACATTATTAAAATACTATTTCAAAATACATGATGTGTGTACGAACGTAACACCCGAAACGATGGAATGACCCAAATATTAAAAGAGTATGTTTAACATAAATATTATGTTACCTTAAATGAAGATCATTCATAATAATTTATCCGTAGATCAACTAATATAGACCCAATAATTAATATAAAGATAAAATATAATAAAATACATCATTTATTTTTAAAAGTGCACATACAAAAAAGATCAATTAGTTTTGAGAGGATATTGTCCCATTAATTTTTATTTATGTAGAAGATAGATAGATAGATTACTAGTTGTGCCCCGTGTCATGTTGTTACCCGCGGTAAAACGTAGCCTATGTCACAGAATAAGTAATAGTACCCTATGTGTTAATCCAGGGTGTCAGCTAACTCCATACCATGCCTGCCAACAGAAAATATCTTATCCCTAACTCAATAAAAGACCATAAACATTTTACAATTTCTCAAAAACCCCAGTTTTCTCAATAAAAAAAACTGTTTCACAAACTATGAAATGGGTAAAAATGTGAAGTGAACAAATACCAACCTAACTTAATTTGAATTTTGTAGTAGGTAATTTACCCTCAAAGCTATGGTTAAAGTCATTAGAAACATTCTTATTTGAGTTATTGAAGATTACTTTCATTCTTATGAAGGACGAAAATAGATGGACAATAAGGTTTGGCGCAAATGGCGCAAATAGCCACCGGTGGCTGTCACGCGCTACCGCCACATTTCCACATTTCCACATTAAATTAATTATTAAAGACGAAATAGGTATTTTACTGTAGGATTAGGTATTTATGCCCTGCCTTTGTGTTATACTTCAGCTTGCTAATCCATCGGGCTATGTCAGTGACTTTAGTTCGTCCACAAGGTGGACCGACGACCTGATAAAGGTAGCAGGAAGGCGCTGGATGCAGGCCGCTATCAACCGTGCTATGTGGAAGTCATTGAGGGAGGGAGGGAGCAGTGGACGTCCTATGGCTAAAATGATGATGATGATGATTAGGTATTTTAAAAAATTTGTATTAGGTGGATTAGGTACTGATTTTAACTAATCCAACCCATCTCTAGCAGGTAGTGGAGTAGAGCGACGGAGGCGGGTGTCAGCTTTATGTATGGCATGTAGTGACCACCATGGCGTGTCGCCGATACATGTGTGCGGTGTATCTATACAAAATATAATAAAAAGTGTGCCGCCGTCGCTGGCCACCGGTGGCTGTGGTCGGTGGCCCATTTGCGCCAAGCTTAAATAAATATAACTAGGTACCTACCATGTATAAAGAATATGAACTTACATGATTGAGGGTAACAGATGCAGCCAGTCTGATTGTGCAATAAAAGCTGTCAATTGATTTGGACTGATGCAAATTGAACACAATTAGGGCATTGTTATATGTGTGCACATTATGCTCCATTTCTTGAGGAAGGACATGATATGGAGATTGGAGGTACATGAATATTTAGTTTGAGTGACTGAATTGTTTTAGGAAGAAGTTGATGTGCACCAATACAGGGTAGACACCAAAAGTTGGCTGGTAAATAAGTTAACTACCTACTTCATTCCGTGTCATATAAAAATTCAGTAGAGACAAGGAAATTAGAGATTGTGTGTGTTATTGCTAAACAATATTTGTTTGCCTTGACGTAAAAGATAAATAATGTTACTCACCCAAACCCGCCGTTTGGATTAACTCCGAGTCATCGAATTCCAAGCTTGGCTCATAGTCGTGATACTCCGAAAGACTGGTGTATGTCTCCTCGCAGTCTGCAGGGTTTCCATGAAGAGCTGCATACGCAATAACACTTTAGACTCAACACGCAACGACAATATCAACAATATTTACATAAAAAAATTACAATTACCTTGAAAAGCTCGTATTGGATTCAATTTCGGCTGATGCTCCGACTCCATTGGATGCACTTTACACAAGTCCAGTTTAGTCCAGTCTCACAGCACTGATATTTTGTCAAATGACTACCTACGTATCTACAATTCCGCCAAACCACTACCACTACTACTTACTCGACGCTTTGTCACTTCCTTTGCTCAACCAAGAACTTGCAGCAACACAGCCTCACATTACAAAATCTAAATTGGCACATTAAATAATGTGAAGTAAATATTTTACGGTGCAAACATTACTAATTGTTAAAAGTACTTGGAAAAATAGTTTATTTCAAAATACAAGGAAGGCTAACAAATTCCAGGGTTTTGACAAATTCACAAAAAAAAAACATGAAGATTTTTTTTTATTATTAAGTCACAGATTATACACTCTATTCCACTCTATTCGGTCCAAACAAATTATATAGCTATTTTATGCCTTGTTCGCACTAGTTGAGTGTAGGTCGCGCAATGAGAGTTGAGGCCATCAAGTCAACACAAGGAAATATAAATTGCTTGCAGAGATAGGTAATAAATTAAATTATTTTTTTTAAAAACCCCTCACATAAAAATAAACTCTAAAAACTAACAAATGAAATTTATTTAAAACCTATAATGTCGCGGTAACCATATTGAGGAGTCAAAGTAAGTTCATAATTATATATTTTAAAGAAAAACGGTCACGCCCCATACAAATAAAAACCCGCCTGACAGAAACGAGACATATAAATGACCCACGCTGAGCCCACAGGCTGAGCCCCGATTATGGTAATTTTTAACGTCTCCAATCCAGACGGGCTTCATCGATTCTGCGATACGATTGGTCAAAACAGAGCCCCGATTACGGTAATTTTTAACGTCAACAATCCAGACACGCTTCTCGATTCTGCGATACGATTGGTCGTTCAACAGCGCACGTCAGCTGTTTTGACCAATCGTATTGCAGAATCAGAAACGCGTCTGGATTGTAGACGTTAAAAGTTACCGTAATCGGGGCTCTGCTGACGTACACTGATTTTTTTTTGTGTTTTGACCAATCGTAACTCAGAATCGATGAAACGTGTCTGGATTGGAGACGTTAAAAAATACCATAATCGGGGCTCTGTGGGTCTAGTCAAAACGCACTTTAAAATCGCAAACCCATCGCAAACCAGTCGCAAACAAACAAACAAATCGCAAAAGAGGTCGATAACAAAAAAGGCTTAGTCAAACGGCAAAAAATCGAATCGCAAAGCCCTACCTATCGATAATCGAAAGACTGGATTGAAATTTCCCATACAAAGGCTTAGCCAACATGCACTTAAGACTCAATCAAAATCGAATCGAATCGCAACACCCGCCATTTTCATTGCGATTACTAAAATACCGGTGATAAGCTTCGATTATATCGAAAACCAATAGGGTGAGTTGCACCACCTAACTTTGACCGTAACTATGACGTTAACCGGTGTTTTTTGTATGGAGTTTGACAGATTTTAGACGTTTGTCAAAGTTAAACTAAGATGGTGCAACCCACCCTAAGGCTGTTTTGACATATCCGTATCGCGATGTCGTTTTGACAGTTAGTTTGACGGCGAAGCATAGACGTAAACAGAGAGCAGAAAGAAGGAAGAGACAAATTAAAAAAAAAAAGCTAAAAAAAGTAAAAAACAATCGCAAAGTCATAGACATTTTTTAACTTTTATTCGATTTTGAATGAACTTTTATATCGCCGCGTCGTTGGTGGTTCAATGTGCATTTTGGCTGCCATTTTCCGATCGAATCGAATTACTGGTGACGCGGCGACTGACATTAGTGAAAACTTCATATAGTTCCAAAATACTGCGCTGTCCTATGCATGACATTGACAGTGGGGCGCCACCGTCAATACCGGATCGCTAGTTCCGATTTTTGCCATGTTGGAAACCATAAATAGTTGAACGATGGTAGCGCCCCCCTGTCATTGAGTTTGGTGGGACAGTTCAGCGTGGGTCATCTAAAGTCTGATTTTTAATTCGACGGAATTCTGACAGCTGTCATTTTTTGACAATTCAGATGTAATAAGCCTTTTTTACTTTGAATTAATAATAAATAATATGAAATGAAATTTCATCAAGTACAACTTTCAAGAATGAACTATTGTTTGTTTTGTGAATTCAATGTAAACTAATTATTATGTACATTTTAGAGACTAAATAGAAAAAACGAGTTATTAACACAGTAAAACAACATATCAACATAAACGAAAATATGTATTGATCATCAATCACCATTATCGTCATTTTAATCAACTTGGATTATAAAATTGGCATCTTGTCAAATTGATTATTTTAAGAAGCTAAGATTTTATTAACAAAAGGATTTTCATAAAAAAGGTTTGTAACCCATGGATTATTGGCCAGGGAGTCCAGTAATAGAAAAATAATTTCCCAATTTTTTTTGTAACTTAAAAAATATGATAATAAAAATTCAAATGACCATTTGGAAATGATCAGTACATTTTTAAGCCTTAGTTTTTCAAGTGAAACCTTAAATTCAAGAAAGGATTATTTTTTTATTTGTGAAAATGCTCTCCATTCTTAGTGGGAATGTTTCAATGTTGGCAACACTTTTGAAATGTCAAAATTCCGTCGAATTAAAAATCAGAGTTTATATTGGTTTGCGATGGCATTTTGACTAGACCCACTGAACTGTCCCACCAAACTCAATGACAGAATTGACAGAGGGGCGCTACCATCGTTCAACTATATGGTTTCCAACATGGCAAAAATCGGAACCAGCGATCCGGTATTGACGGTGGCGCCCATGAAGCTAAAGATAAAAATGGAGGGCAGAGTCGGAACAAAAACTTGAGTCAAATACCTACTTATATGTATCTCGATCTCTGCGGCCCTACCTCTCTTTTTAGTGTTAACTGTAGTATTGCTATCTTCTGATTGAAATCTCCTTGTAAATTCTTCGAAATAGCCAATTCACTAACCAAATCAGAAGTTAAACAAATAAATAATTAATATTTGAAACTAAGATTACCTAGTTAAATAAAAAATCACAAAATTGTCGGCCATTTAGGCTTAATGTGTTGGCGAATCAGGGAATTACAATCCCAATTCCTGGGTAATCGGTACCATGTGGCAACATTGGCCCAATCCGGCCCATCATGACGGTTGTTTACTATTTTGTTTATTATGCAGTTAATTTCGTTTGAGACTGTTTACAGGAAATAATCATTGTTTTATCACAAGAATTGGTGCAAAATTTTGTAGTGCGTGGTTGCGGTAGTACGTGGTGTCCTGGAAGTGACATAAGATTCCACGCGTAAGTGTTTATTTCGTGATTTCCGACATTGGATCATTGTAAACATTTTTCACATTTTTTACAGTAGTTTCTTCCTAAAACGTTTTACCAGTTATTACACTTATCATTTTTAATGATACCTATGTCAAGAAATAAAGATTTTACATTGGTTTCATTGAATTTGAGCAATTTTATATTTTTTGTTTACTTAGAAAGAGCGAGTCTGCCCACAGAGAGCGAGATAGTGATACAAAGGTTGTGCTTCAAGTAGGTATCCGAAGTGTGGCCTCCATTTTATCTTTATAGTTCCAAAATACTGGACTGTCCTGTCGATGACATTGACAGTGGGGCGCCACCGTCAATACCGGATCGCTGGTTCCGATTTTTGCCATGTTGGAAACCATATAGTTGAACGATGGTAGCGCCCCCCTGTCATTGAGTTTGGTGGGACAGTTCAACGTGGGTCATCTATAGCTTCATGGTCAAAAGGTGTCAAACAATGTCTGTCAAAACGTCAAAACGATAAAATCGTTGGATAATTATATTGCTTTAGCGTGTGATTTTTTATCAATTTGGTATTTTACTGAAGGTATATTTTGATTAAGACTTAAACTGAAGACATATTGCTAGCTAATTACATTTTATTTATAGCCTGTTAAAAGTAGGTACGTAATTCGTACGAGACGCTGAAGTCATCGATAAAACTCGACTACTTCGAAATTATTATTAAACAGAAAGATGCTTGGTTATTCGAATGCTGGTATCCCGGACAGATCTTGGCAGCCACCAGTAGCAGTTATTGAGACAACGTATGTATATAGTACTAACTATTAACTTTATGGCATTAATAGAGACAGGAATGGAAAGAACAAACATGACCATTTTTTTTATTCAGGACAAGGATTTCTGTCTTTCGATTTCGTAAAGAAGTCAACCCAGCGTAAATCCACTCGATTTTCTTCAATAAGATGTGGTTGCACCTCACGCAAAAGTCCAACCTCATCGTACAATTTGTCACTATCTATGTCAATATTTAATAATTCCTGGAGTTTAGTAATGCTGGTCCATGTGATTGGTTCTTTTAAAGATAAAATTTATACACAAGTACGAGCAGCAATGGATGCATTTAATTTTTAGAAATACCGGAGAAAATATTGCTCTCCGGGAGGTCGGGGGAGGTTAACTATTATTTCCGGAGTCTCCCGGGCAATCTGGGAGGGTTGGGAACCCTAACTCCAAGCCTCATACCTAACCTGAAAATAATATCAGCTTTTTAACGTTTTTAACTTACTAGCTGTACCCCGCGGTGTTAGCCACTGTAAAACTTAGCCTATGTGTTAATTCAATTTTATTAAAATAGCTCCAACCGTTTAGAGGTGAAGAAGTAACAATTTCAAACATACACAGTCACACAATCACAAACTTTCGCCTTTTTATTATTAGTGTAACCCCGCATTAGTATCTAGGTAAGCTCTAGGTATTAATAATACAATCTTGTTGTATGTTTTTTTAACTTTGAAGCCTAACAATGTGCATTTCAGAAGCTAATAAATATTTATATGACAACATCTTGTTTCAGGATGGGTATAATAATAGTGGAAATGTACTGGAAACACACTCCTATCACTTGCAGAAACTTTATGGAACTTGTCCGAAGAGGCTATTATAACAACACTAAGTTCCATAGAATTATCAGGGACTTCATGATCCAGGGTGGTGATCCGACAGGCTCAGGGAAAGGTGGTCAATCAATATATGGCCTTCATTTTGACGATGAAATAACAAGTGACCTGAAACATACTGGAGCCGGCATTTTATCCATGGCCAATGCTGGCCCTGACACAAATGGATCTCAATTCTTTATAACTCTAGCTCCAACCCAGTGGCTTGATGGAAAACACACTGTGTTTGGCAGAGTGCAAAGTGGTATGACAGTTGTAAAAAGAATTGGTTTAGTTGAATGTGATAAAAATGACTGTCCTGTAGATGATATCCGTATAGAAAGAGCATACATACCGAAATAAATAAATAAATATAATTTAATAGTATTTTGTT